GTGTGCCTTGGTACTGATCGCGAGCTGCATGATACTGGCATAATAGATTGCCCGATCGGGCAACCAGCAGGTGAGGCTTCATTGCCCGAGCTAAATACTAGATGTCGAGCCCTGTGCTTTAAGTGATCATCTGTTTCTGTGCCTGCAGTGCTGGCCCCAAAGGAGACAACATCTATGAGTGGAGGTCGACCATCCTGGGACCGCCGGGCTCCGTGTACGAGGGAGGGGTCTTCTTCCTGGACATCGCCTTCACACCTGACTACCCCTTCAAACCCCCCAAGGTATTGTTATATTACCGTACTACATGTCGGCTAGCGCCACACATTCAGACTGTGGTCACCACACAAGTATAGTCCAACTTTGTTGTTGCTGTTCTGAAATGAAACAACATGATAACAATTGGGATTCCTGTAATATAAACTTCATAGCTTCAGTTCACATAACAAAGCCAGAGATTCAGAAGAAAATGCACTTCCATTAGACAGAAATCCTTTTACCTGTAATCAGTTTACAAGGTAGACTGATATCACAACTCATTTTATGAAAGTTGAGATCTGACCTGACACCACAGGGTGTCCGCGGGGTCCTAAAAAGTATTCAAAGTTGATAAATCAATTTAGCGAAAATTAAAGTTATTTAAAAAATATTCAGCATTTCCAAATGGTTGGAAGATAAGGAGGAAGGACAATCAATGCTGTATATAGTAAATGTGAGGTAAAGTGTGTCGCCAATGTAACCGGTTAAAACTCAAAGTNCGCCGGTTGTTAAACAACATCGTTATGGGGAAATGCAAGTCTGCGTCCAAATGGTTGGAAGATAAGGAGGAAGGACAATCAATACTGTGGTGTATATAGTCAATGTGATGTAAAGTGTGTCGCCAAGGTAACCAGTTAAAACTCCAAGTGGTGATGAGGTCTTAAAATGTATGGAAAGGGTCTTAAAGAAGGTCTTAAAAGGAATTACATTTGACTTCAGGATTCCTGCATATACCCTCTAATAAAGCTGAGCAGCTGCTCTAGTATTGAGTTTCTACTGATCACAGACAGTATAATCCACTTGCTTTGGAACACAGAAACCTGATGTCTTAGGAAATTGGTTGGTCCCGAGCTGACTGATTGATCCGGGTTAAAGTGGGTTAAATTGTTCAGATTGTAGGAATTGCAAGAATTTTCGCTGGCCATCTGCACAAGTCCCTGCTTGTTATCAGGCACGGGTTGAAGTCATGGACAATGTTTGATATCACTAACTGAGAACAGAACTGATGTAAAGCAGAAGTGTCCTTGATACAGAATGTGAGAGCTTTTACTTTGTTCGTGTCCATATTGTGCATCTTAAGAGTATCAAAGAGTGGATTTTAAACATGTGTGTATATTAAACATGTGTTTGTTTTATTTTCCTTTGCCCAGAGTTTCCTCAGACATCTGCTACAGGAAGCAGCCGTGGAGCCTGGTGAAAGCGTTGATAGAGAAGAACACCTGGAGCGGCATAGAGGAGTACTACAGACACGTGGGTGAGTCACATGGTCCGCCTCCAGCTTATCCCTGTATACACAAAGGGTGTTTCTCAATGTCGAGTACGCTTGCTTGGTAGCACATGTTTTCCGAGCGTCTTGCTTCAGAAGCGAGGCAAGAATCCTTCCTGGCATTCGGAAAACGAAGAGTGGAACAGGCGAGCAAGTGTGCAGGTGTGCGTCATATGAGAGGCCCCGCCTTGCATTTTCCGCCACGGATTTGGGGAAATTGGTCCGTGCGCAAAGCATTGTGGGGATTTTAAGACCGCGGAGTCTACACATGTGCAGCCTCGACATTTCTCCAAACGAAGTGCACCGGGCTCGGTAGAATTCCAAGTATGCTGGACATTGGAACAGTACTTCGGCAGCACTCGATGACGTAGTATGCTTGAAATAGTGGCTCTGGAGCAGCTTTACTCGACATTGAGA